ACCACCACTACCACCACTACCACCACTACCACCACTACCACCACTACGACCACTACTACCACTACTACCACTACTACCACTACTACCACTACTACCACTACTACCATTACTACCACTACTACCACTACTACCACTACTACCACTACTACTACTACTACTACCACTACTACCACTACTACCACTACTACTACTACTACTACTACTATTCCTGCTCCTGCTTTGGGGGGGTGGCTTTGCCACAAAGCTCTACCCCGCAAAAGGCGAAAATTTGGCGAAAATTCAACTCAAGGTTGGCGAAAATTCACCCTGCCACATCTGACCCCCAGCCCATTATGAATATGTTTGAGTGACCGGCTACTACAGTGATTCTTGCAAATTTGATTCTTGTTGACACCCAGGAGAAACAAAAGAAACGTACAGGGTATCAACAATTAAGTAGAAGACACATGCTGACAAACAGTGAAATTTCTATTTTGTGTTTGCCAGTAAAGAAGAAGCCATTGACGTGAACAAAATACGACATATATGGCACACATAAATACAACGTATTTCGGCGAAAGATAAAACGCAGAAAGGCGAAAATTTGGCTAAAATAAATTCTATTTTGGCGAAAATGACGGATCCCGGATAAAGGAATTTAGATTAACTCCCAGATATTAATTATGTATTGCTTCATGACGAAGAAATGGACCTTTTATGAAATATTTAATCAATATAATAAGAAAAATTTAATATTACAATATACTTACGAATCATGTCCTCGAATTATATTATTAATCTATTTCTCGTTCCGAATACGGGAAAAAGATACACATCCGCATAGGGATAGCTTTGGTCGCTTGTCATCTTTTAACAAAGAATATATATATATATATTTGGAAATCCGGGCAGAAATTGAATATTACAGAATCTTTGAAAAAGGCAACGATTAAACAATATCGTTTTTTTCCAAACAATTTATTATTGGGGTTCTATTTTAGAAAGAAAAGAGCCGGCCATACTCATTGGTCGCGTCTTTGAACTCTGTGGTTGGGCTTTATATCTAGGCCTTGTCCTCCCCTTATCCTCCTCTTGGCCGTACCCCTGAACTCTGTAAATTCTGTGGCTGGGTTTTATGGTTGGGCTCTGTGTCTAGGCCTTGTCCTCCTCTTGGCCGCGCCCCTGAACTCTGTGAATTGTGTGGCTGGACTTTGTGGTTGGGCTTTTGTCCTCCTCTTATCTTTCCCTTGTCTTCCTCGTGGCCGCGTCCATGAATTCTGTGCCTTATTTTCTTCTTGGCCGCGCCCCTGAATCTTGTGAATTCTGTGGCTGGGTTCTGTGTCCAGGCCTTGTCCTCTTTTTGTCCTCCTTATGTGTTCCTCTTCTTGTCTTCTTCTTGGCCGCGCCCCTGAATTGTATGAATTCAGTGGTTGGACTCTGTGGCTGTGCTTTGTATCTAGACTTTGTCCTCCTTTTAATCGCGCCCCTGTGTGGCTCGGTTCTATGTCTAGGCCTTGTCCTCCTCTTGGCCGCGTCCGTGAACTCTGTGAATTCTATGCCTGGGCTTTGTGTTTAGGCTTTGTTGCCCAAACAATTTATTGTCAGGGTTCTATCTTAAGAAAAAATGAATTGGCCACACTTATTGGTCGCGCCCCTGAATTCTGTGGTTGGGCGGTGCTCTTTATCTTCTTCTTGATCGCGCCCGTGAACTCTGTGGCTGGGCTCGGTAGGTGGGCTTTGTATCCAGATTCTATATTTTCTTGTCTTGGTAAATTAGGAGTTGACCATCCTTTGCCCGCGTTGGTCTTCTTGTTTTCTTCTCTCTTATCATTTTTTGTCGTTTTCTTGTCCCTTTCACCTCCTCCTTTTGTTTTTTTTTCGAATCTTATTGTTGTCTTCTGGCTGCCTTTTGTCTTTTTCTTTTCTTTGTCTTGTCTTTATTTTATTTTCTCGTGTCCTTTTGGTCCTCCTTTTGTCTTGTTATTGTTTTACTCTTATATTTTTAGTTTCCTCTTCTTGGCGTCTTCCTATTTTCGTCTCTTTTTGTCTTCTTTTTGTTATTTGGTTGCGTTGGCTAACCTTGCGTCTTCCTTTTGTTCTTTTCTTGTCTTCCTTTTGACCTCCTGGCCTCTTCTTCTTGTCTTGCCGTCCTTTGGCCGCGTTGGCAAGCCTTGAGTTTTCCTTTTGCTTCTAATGGCCATATTTTCGGAATCCTGTGGTTCTTCCCCGTTGTCCTCGTGTTATAATCGCAAACCCCGTGTCCTTCTTTGTATTTGTCCAGATCTGCCTATCCTGCTTGTCCACGTTGTGGGCCTGTTTATCACCGTCTTACCCGGGGCGTGTTCCCTACTCGGATCTTCTTACGACATATATATCCGGTATCCCATCATTTTGCGCGTGTGAATAGACATTAGGAAAGGGTATTTTCAAATATTTATTGTTTAGGCGCAATTCCCATACAACTGGAGGCTTTAAACACATAAATTTGCATTCGTTTCCACCAACGTTGGAATTTTCGGAATTGACGTCGACGCCGGCAAAAATGCTGACGCGGCTTTGGATCTATTTTGGTGTAATTCCCCAAATAATGTACTATTGGGGTTCTATCTTTTAATAAAAGGACCGGATAACCCCACATGATAAGTTTTACAAATTTCAAATGTATATGAACATCGCATGGGAGACGGAGTAGTGAGATGAAAAGTCAAGAAGGAAGTGTGAGGAGAGAAGGCATATGAGGCGGTATAAGTGCAGTATAAGTGATGATGTGATGGACGAGGATGAGAAGGAGGGGAGGGAGGAGGTGTGTGTGTGTGTGTGGTGAGATGGCGTGCGTGTGTGTGTGTGGGTGAGGTTGTGGATTTTGCCATCAGATCCGCATGCGACCTTCAAAACGTAACACACTCGAAACGACCATCAAAGCTATCAAGTGGTCTCATCCCGACCACGGCGGGCAGTGTTAGCAGGATGTAAAGCAAGAAGAGGTGAGACACGCTTTTCTCTCACGCAGAGATGTAGAGTGAGCTCCAGGCAGGACCTGAGCTCCGGTCAACTCGCACGAACAATGAGTATATGTTTGCAACACTGAAGGCGGAGGCTAGCACAAAACATCAGAAGTGTCGATGTCAGAAACGAACTTGGTCAGTGTCAATTCTTTTGAGAAACGAATTCCGTCAGTCGCTATGCAACGCAAGGCAGCGTTGTTTTCGACTCTTTTCGCAGCAGTGTATCGTCACAGTCTGTCCAGCTCGTCACGTCGACTCGCCGGCATGCTAGCTCACAGTTCTTGAAGTGCAGCAAAAATGCGAGGTCTTACAAAGGAATTTCGGCTATCTCTCCACTCAGCTCGCGACCATGACGGACTACAGAGGGCGACGCCTCAGCAGTGACATCTGGAAAAGACAAGTAACCCGGCCGAAACACCTGCTGCCGAAAGCGTCACAAGAATGCAAGGTCCGCCGATACTTGACACAAAACTACCCGCGTCAGCGATGTTTCTCTTAGCGCGTCTCCGCGCTGAGCTCGTGACGACAAGGGATCATGGAGG